ACTAGTTCTATGTTTTAGCTTATTTGGTTTGCACATAAGTTAGAAAGTCTATGAGAGGTAGAATTAAAGGCGAGTGTTGAAATTCAAAGAATTTTTTTTTTATCCTCGTTTAAGTTTTCTGATCAATTTTTTTTGTGCTTTACTGATCAGTTACAGTTTTATTATATCTAATAAATTTGTTTTTGTTTTATAGATTATAATATGTGTATTAAAGATTTTTTTAAAGGCATGCTATTTTATACATATCTATCAAAGTAATTCTTTAAAAAGGAAAATAATTCTTTGATTATGATCGGATCTGATTTTTGTAGCAAATAATTAAATATATTCAAATTGGTATGATTTAACACAATTTAAATAAACTGATCTGTAAAATTCATGTCAACAAATTTGTGTAGAATATATTGTTCAGACATAATCGAGGAGAAATAAAAGTGATTAAAAAGAAAATAAAAGAAAATTTGTTTTTTTTTTGTCTATATATTTTTGAATATTTCTTTAGAAATATCATCGTGATATTCTTTGGATACATTCATAAAATCTAGAATGATACATTGAAAAATCCGTACTCATTCAAAGTGATCATCTATTTTGATTTCTATGATTTAACGTTTATAATATGTATGTGGTGTTGATAGAATATTTAATTTATTTACTAAACAAAATGAACAAGTTAGATTGATAGAAATCGAAACATATTACCAGTTTATTTAAGAAGAAAGTTTATTCCATTTAAATTATATATTCAATGCCATTTACATGTTCACTTGTGTTCTTATCAGGGAAACAAAATACTAATAGTTTACATAGATTTGTTGGTTAGTTTATGATATAGATAACTAGCAGAAGTACCCGGTGTTGCCCGGGAAAGTTCAATCATAATATATACATGTAAAACACCCATTGGACTCGAGGAGATGTAGAAAAACCTTATCAATGAAGAGCCCAGCTGAGAAACCGATTTGTAGACAACCTTGCAAAATAAATGCGTTTTGATCAGAAGAAAGCACAACGATACATCTAATCGGTCTAGAACCTCTGTTCACAATCCATATTGATCAAGAGAATTATGACGATAAATCTTACTTCGTACTGCGAGAATCATACTGAATTCTAATTGGTTCCAAATACAGACAGACAGAAAGATTTTTGTGCAATAAAGCCTTTTTTCAGCAACGTAAGAAGTCGATTTCTATGAGCTAGTAGCTGACGCACAGACTTTTAAACCTGACAAACTGTTTATGCGAAATTCCCGCCTTAGACAACCTCCGGGAAACCAATTTCCTTAAAACTCGATCTGTGTTTGACACAGGTGACGCAGTAGAGTCATGTGCGGCCCAGTAAGATTTGAAGCTCAATAAACTTCAAATTCCTAATGTCTTTCCTCTAATAATCCAGTGAGATGCCTCTTTCCAAAAGCTCGATTTTTATTGATTCTAGTGCTCAGAAAACTCTATTGCTATTGGTTTTCGGCTAACTCATAGAATTTCAAGGCGAATGGACATCGGATTCGAACTCGCCACCTGTAGAAATCCATGGGTGACTGTTTCGGCGAAAATCCAATTTAGATTGGCTGATATCTTAGCTGCTTAGCTCCTATTGGTTCGCAGTCAACCAATAGAATTTCGAGGTGAATTGACCTTTGATTCGAACTTGCCACCTCTAAAAACCTCTACGGGACTGTTTTCACGAAAACGCAATTTTCATTAGCTAGTTTCTTAGCGGCTCGATTCCTATTGGTTTTCAATCAACCAATAGGATTTCAGGCAAATGGACCCCAGATTCAGACTTACCGCTCTCGAAAGCCTATGGTGACTTGTACTCTGTTTGATCACCGAGTGCTGTTAAGTAGTTCCTCTATGCTAATGAATGCTGCAATCGGATTGGTTGAATATACAGACGAACCTTTTTTGGGCGGAGGATCCATGCTTTCTGAAAAAAGAATAGCTCTCGATCTTCACCTAGATGAAAGAAGAGTTCATGCAAAATTTGGTTGCACTGGCTCCTACGGAGTCCAAATGCATAAAGAACAAACAAACAAACTTTCTTCTTTATATATTAGATTTTCTTAAAAGATCGTTGTATTCTTTTAGATCGTATTATTATGCATGGCATCAAACTTTTAACTATTTTCTTCGGTCAACTTTTATTATGTATTGTGAGTATGAATAATTTTTCGATTTTATATTATTGAAATTAAAATTTGACTTAGATCTTTGTAACATCAGATTTATTATCTTCAATTCAATGTCTTGATCGCGGTTTTTCACCAGATAATTTACTCTGTTCAAATTGTCATGATTTAAAACAATTTAAATTAAATGAATTAGAAAATACATGTCAAGAATGTTGTACTCATACTGATAATGCAGAAGATAAAACAATAGTAAGAATTCTAAAGAAGAATTTTAATAAAAATTTAATTTCTTTTGAAAAATTTTATTTAGAAATATCATCGAGCTATTCTTACCCTATGTACATGTAAATTTGGACGATATCCACAAATCGAAGCTTTTATTAAAAGTAAACGTCTACAACGATTTCCAACATTTAGTTTTAAACATGTTGTTGGCGCTGAACCTATTCTTCATTTATATAATGATAAAGATGAAGAAATACAATCATTAGGTATTGAAAAATGGGATACAGATACATTAACAGCATTTCTTGAAGAAAACTTACATGTTTAATTAATTCTTTTCCTATTGTTCTTACTGATTTGTTTCTTTTTCTTTGTTCAGAAATAAAATATATTGAAATCTATTTAATTTAAATTTAGAAGGTTATGGGAATTACTTTTTTGTTTTTGTTTATTTGTCAGATATTATTGATATGATGGATACGTCGAAGGATATTGATTGTAGGTAGACAAAAAAAAAAAAAAAAGAAAACAATTTAAAATTTATTTCAATCATACATATAATTTTAGTTGATAATAATGATCAAATTCGTCTTTTAACAAATTTACGTGATGATATAAAAATTTTACTTCATTCACATCCAAAAGGTATTTGGTTTCGCATGTTACCAAAAGTATATTATATGCATTTTAATCGTGATATACATTTGGATTTATTTGCTATAACAAATCCATATTTATTTCTTGATTATATATCAGATATAATTAAATTTGATTTACCTGATAATTTAAATGAAGAAGATTTTATTATTGAATTAAATAATGATCAAAAACAAATATTACAAACATCAATGCAATATATGGATTTAAAATTGAGACGGTAAAAAAAAAAAACAATAAATATTGATTGGAAATAGAAATTTTGGTCAGTAAAATAAATGACATCGTTAGTAAAAAAAAGATATAAATGATCAGCAGCAACGGTGAAATGATTTCAGTTTAGGTTAGGCTCGATTTTTCAGTCAAACTAATTCGAAGAGCGGGTTGAAACGTGGTTTTCTTGCTAGATTTTAATTGTGTATAAGTGTAATAACTATCTAATGTTTTATTGTTTCGAATGAAATCTGGAACTAACGAACTAATAGAGAAATATTGCTTAAAAACAAAATAGGCTAAGAAGAAATAAAATTATTCATGATCGAACAAATTTTTTCTATTCTGATTTTTTCTTTATGAATATGAGGAATAATAATATGATTTAATCGTTGTTGAATCGTTGTATAATGTAAACATGTTTTTATTTGATTCATAACATGGAAGAACCGTTCAGCGATGGCCGTTATTATGGAAATGATCAAATCTAACGGTAACAATTTACTGTATTCAGAAAACATAGTTCTGGCAATTTTTTGTGTATTTAAAAGATAGAATGTGACGTGGCTTTGTAACAACGTGTCATCTGTTAGAAGAAAATAAAAATTAAACAGTAATAGAAAATTTTTACATTTGACAGCCTACTCAGGCCTTGTGACTTCATCATCTATGATGATCGGTCGTATAACAATTAATTTAGTACATGAAAAATAAATAGAAAAACTACAGATTATATAAGAAAGAAATTCAAAGAATGAATGAAAATTCAATTATTGTACTAGCCAAGCAGGTTTAGCCATTTCTATTCTATCTCTTTTTCTTTTTTCACCGATCAGCACTGTTTTTGCTGCTGGTGATGACTTGCAACATTTCAAATGAACACAGCCATACTAACAACGTGTTTGCATATACAATTCTTAAAAAAAAAACAGCTGGACTATTGCATTTTAAGTTTTACCAATCGACATCATTTCCATTTCCATACATCAAATATCATTTGATACTTTTGAATCTATTATAAATCACGAGCTGGTATATAATATGTTTTTTAGAAAAAAAATTATTGGAAATACAAATTGTAACGATGTTGTTGATTCTGTAGCGATTATTTTCGTGTTAATTGAGAAAGAACTGGTTCAATTGACCAATTATTGAGTATATTTGAAACTATTGTATAAAATATGATGTCCTTTAAGGCGTTGTTTGTACGTGGCATATACAATCATATATCTTCATACAAACCATCATTTTATTTGAGCCATTCATTGACAAAATAATTTAAAACAATCTAATATTGATGCTAACTTATGAATCACACTATAATACATTTCGATTTTTTATACTTACCATTTAATTTAATTTATTCATTTATTTTACTGATCAGTGCATTTATTCTACTGACCATTTAAATCATTGTTATATTGATTTGTATGATTTTAGAGATGTTTTATTTAAAATGTTACAAAATGCAAGTTTTGAAAAACGTGGTTCATTATTACGTGAAATTTGTGTTATTGATGAACATTTAAAATATATCAATCATGAACAAGAAGCATCTCCTTCACCAAAAAGTTGATAAATAATATTTTTTTTCTGTTTTTTGATATACTATTCTATTGTTTTCTTTGTATTTGTAGTACCAGTTCATGAGCAAGTAGCTTTACGTCTTCAAAAGATACGTTCAATGATTGATTTTACTCTTGATTATCTTCTTAAAACACCAAATGAAATATCTGATAACGAATTAATTGAACTCTATGATAATTCAGATGAATTTATTCATAATTTAACACCATTAGCTCAACGTTTATCTTTATCAACAAAATAAATAACATTTATTATTATCTTGAAAATAATCAGATAAAGCGTAGTCTTTCGTGATTTCATGGTTTTCATTTTGTTACGAATCTCGAACAGATATTAATCTAGGCATTTTTTTCTTCTTTATTTTAAAATTTAACATTATGAAAAAAAAAAAGAAATAGAGCTTGTTACGTTTTTCTTCAGATATTAAAATGTCAATGAATGGACATCAATGGCAAAGAATTAAATGTGAAGAACAGATAAAATATGTTATCAATTTACGACAACGTTTTCGTCAAGTATAGAAATCTATTTTGATTGATCAATCCTTTGCTGTTTTACTTTTTTTTTTTGTAATAATCTTGTTTAGTATTTAAAACAAAATTTTAATATTGTATGGTATTCTGATGCACAAGTGAGAAATTAAAAAACCAAAAAAATAAACGAGATTTTTAAAATTCTATAAAAAAAAAGAAAACTGCTTTTATCTTTGGTAGAATTATTTTCAAGAAGATTTAGAATTACTTGATGTATCACTTATTGAATGTATTTGTGATCTTGTTAATATTCATACATCATTTTCAAATGAAACAGGTGATCATTTTAAACTTGAATTAAAATGTGAAAAGTCATCGAATACTAATGATGTATGTATTAAGTTTCTTTGTTATTACGATAATCGATTTTATTTACATATATATATAAAGAAACTTGATGAATCAATGAAAAGAATCTATTTTAACCGTCGACATCGAGCTTTAATTAATAGTCGGTTTGTATTCAAATAATTTAACTAGGATTATGTTTATATTTTCAAATTATTTGTCTTTTAGTGAAATTTTACTTGATGATTTAAGTATATCGATAAATGAAAATATTCAAGATCGAATGCTTAAAATACGTGCTATATGTGTACTTGATGAAGAATTAATTTATATTCAACAAGAATTAATATCAAAACCTATTGGTGAACAAGTAGCTATTCGTTTACATCAAATTCGTGCAATGATTAATGTTTTTTTTAAACAAACATCTCAATCATTATTTGAAGATAGTCGAGCTATGATTCCACTTGTTCATTCTTGTGATTCATTTCTTTCAACATTTCGTCTATTTTTAAATAGTACAAATACTTCTGATATAAGTTTAAATTCTTCATTAGATATTCAAAATGAATATAAATAAAAAACAACAAAACAAAAAAAAAAGAAAAAGAAGTTTGGTCTAAAACCAATCTATTAATAAGATTCTTTTTTTTTTGACAAAAAAAAAAAAAGAAATTAACAATTTTTATATACAAAAAATGATTAAATATTATTATTCGTAGTAAGATTTTTTTTTGCTTGAAACCGATAAGCCTTATGTACATATGTGGGTGTATGACGTCGATGCCATTGACAACGGAGTATACGAGCAAATGTTCGTCGAAATGTTCCATTACATAAGGCATACAGCATTGGGCTAAAAATAAAAATTTTCATAAAAAAAAAAAAACATTCTTTCAAAATACATACTTAATCGTTGAATTAATATAACATAACATATAACCAAAACGTTCCCAATACATTGGAAATCCATGTTTAAATATATCTGGTTTTATAGTTGATATGACTATATTTGTATTATAAGGAAGCCATGTAACAATGAAAGCAATTAAAATAGCACTAGAAGAAAAAAAAAATAATAATAATAATATAAAATTTTTAAATTAAATGAAAAAGAAAAAAAGTAATTTTATTTACCTTAAAGTTTTAGCAGCTTTTTGATCTTTCATTTTTTCTAAACGACTTTTTACAGTTTTAACACTTCCATGTGTATTTGTAGGGACAGGCATTGTTGTACGTTTTTGTGTTAGTGATTTCGAAGATGATACATTTGTTTCATTTCTTTGTGGTATATTTATTGTATTTGAACATGTTTGATGGACAATATGTGTCTGTTGCTGTTGATGGTTTGATGACGATAATAATGGGTCTATACACTTATGTTTAGGAAGTTGTCGCCAACTGGCGTCATGTGTGTAAGTAGTTGAATGAGGTTGTGGAAGTGAAATTGAT